TAATCGAAATTTTACATCCCTAGTGCAGGCTGCCCTGGGGGGGAGAGGACAACCCCAGCCCTATTTCACTGCAGCAGCTTGGGGCCAGGTGAGAAGCGCCTGTCCATGGCCACTGCAGCTGCAGCGAGCACAGTCGTGGGAGGTGGGTATGTCCTTGGCTGTGGGCCAAACAAACACAAACAAACTGACAAACTCTGAAATATCCAGTAGATAGCTGTCCCTTTTTCCGCCGCTGCCCTCTTCTGGCCCAATGGGTTATAACTGTCTGGATGCCCACCTCTGGTCCTGTTAATACAGTACAGTAATTGTCAAATATGACGTATTTATATACTGGTAAGATTACTTTTAAAGTATCTGAGTATTAGGTAGGAATTTTGGTGTTCTTGGATACATCTCTTAACTGTAATCATGTTAATTTTAAACTATTTTAATAACTGTGAGTTTTTAAAATGACCTTACAGAAAAGTACTCTATCAGATACACAAAGTCTACAGTTTTCTAGGTTTTCTGAAAAAAATGTATAGAATTTAGAATTGTTAACAGATTACTTAAGCATGTGCTTAACTTTAAGTATGCCAAGTTGATAGTACTATTTATGTGCTTAAGTGTTTGCTGAATCAGATTTTTAAAGGCACAAAAACATGTAATCCAGGTCAGACTTAGAGTTAGTTCTGGTTTCTATAGCTAGAATATTGGTTCTAAACTTTTGGAAGGTGGAGAGGGAGGATGCTTAACAAACACCAATTTCGGAGGTTGCTCAAGCTTAACTCACGTGTCAGCAAGTGAGAAGGCATGTAGCTGGGAGTGCATGAAAGCAACAAAAGAAGTTGGCAAGAATTTTGGAAGGAGTACAAAGAGCGATAGCAAGAGTAGGTGGAATATAATTATACTTCCCCACATAGGGGAATGTACATAATTTTTGGCGAGCTATGCCCTACTCTTGGCTCTCCTGTTCTTTTTATGAAGAGTGTTTAATTTTTTCATATATCAGTTTATCCAGCTATACTATGGGCACACCTTCACTTTGATATTCTGAACATTAATCGACATCTCAGATAAAAAACATTTATAGAAATATTATCTTGTTGGCCACTGCTGATTGGCCAAGAGGCTTCTTGTAAATAAAACATTTCAACTATAGCATTTACTGTATCAGTGAATCACACTGTGATCCACTATGATTGTTCTTCTACATACTTTGATTACAGAGTAAGACCATTTGGAAGTGGATAATGATTTTTATGAACTATTTGACTGCAGAGATGAAAGCAGCTACTTTATTACTATGTTGTGTATTTGTTCGCTGTATCCAGCCTTTGATTATTTCTTTCCTGTTTGATATGGTGGGTTAAATGCTGCTCTGTCATATCAGGGTGTGCCTGAAATAATTCCATTGGTTTAAGGTTGTCTGAGGAGGCTTTCAAGCCAAATTGTGCATGAATGTATGTGAAGTAGTTGATAAATGTTTGAAGTTGGCTACTGTATTTACTGTAGATCTCCTTTTGTTATTTGGTTTGAATGATCCCTGCTTGGAGTATAGTTTATAAGTTTAAAATCCCAGTCATGATTTCTGAGGAATAATAAGAAATATGTTTTGCTCTGTCCTGTAGACCCTCATGTGAAGAGTCTTTACATGAGGGTGCTCTCGACCTGCAAACTTGACTCACTCAACTCCCATTGATGCCAGTGAACTATTAGTTAATGCTATGATCTATCTGTTTTGTTTGAGACAAAGAGCCAAAGAATTAACCCCTCCCTCCCTCCTCTCAGTTCTCAAATTTAGTAGATTAACATGGAGGAGGAGTGACTATTAGAAAACCAGATTAAAAACAATTGATAATTGTAAATCTTAATATTTTATTGGCAATTTCACAGTCTGATGCTTATAACAGATTTTTCTTTCACTCTTCTTAGTGTTTTCTCATTTCTCTGGATATCAGCATGAATTGGTGTAAATAGGAATAATTCTACTGAAGGCTACAGAGTTAAAAATTGCTCCAGTTTAATTGCTGACCATCTGGTTCATTACCTCTATTCATTGGGAGAGTTCTTATCTGTTATGATTTTATTCCTTTAATCATATTGTATAGTGATAATTAACTATTGTATCTGCAATCTGTTAGGTCATTTATAACCAATCTGTTGCTGCAGTTCTTATTTTCTGTTTTAAGAATGGCAATATTTATCTTAAGTTTTGCGTGTCTTGTCTTGTGTATGTATTTTTTTATTTTTATCTGAGTCAGTGGTGCTCTGGTTTTATTACCACATTCATCGCTTTAGTATGAAGATCTTCTATCACTTCTTTATTAAAAGTGTGACTTTGCAACCTACATTCAGATGGAAAATTGCACCCATTCCTGTGAATTGCTCCCACAAGCTACGTCTACACTGGCGTGATTTTCCGAAAATGCTTTTAACGGAAAAGTTTTCCGTTAAAAGCATTTTCAGAAAAGCACATCTAGATTGGCAGGATGCTTTTCCGCAAAAGCACTTTTTGCAGAAAAGCATCCGTGGCTGATGATCTTACATGAGATCGTCAGTGTTCTTGCGGAAATTCAAACAGCCAGTGTAGACAGCTGGCAAGTTTTTCTGCAAAATCATTTGATTTTGCGGAAAAACTTGCCAGTCTAGACACAGCCAAACAGTATAGTAGTCAACACTTGATGCCAATCTACACTTTATCTGTTCGAGTGATTTTTTTTTTAACAGTATGTTGAACCAGATATTAATCACATTGCAACAAGTTTCCTTGGCTAAGTAATTCAATTAAACCATTATAATGGGGAAGAACTGAAACAAAATAAAAAACTTAGAAGTCACCTTAACAGATAGTAAATAAACATTAGAGGGCAAAACCACAGACTTTTCTGTTTACCAGGTCATGTTTAAATGTGTTTTTCTAAATTTAATATGAGGTCCAAACCTGTTAGACCTTGGACTTACACCAATGCAATCTTATCACTGAGGTGTAGATGTCCAGGCGTAGATGTTCTCCATGGAAACCTGTGTCTCTTACAGGAAAGGATTTCAGTGACCCCTGGCACTGCAGAAAGTTTCCATGGTACACTGTAGGAAGGAGAGGACTAGAGGGAGATGTGCATCATTTATCCTGAGTCACAAACTTGAGTTTAATGGAATTCAAACTGTTCTCAGTGTAGTAACTTGAGGCTGTCTAACATTTTTCCCACCCCCCACTCACTGTCCCATGTTGAGGAGCTTCCTTTGTGAATAGGGGCTTTCAGGAGCAACAGTTGGCTGTGAAAGTCCTGGCAGCACAGCCCCACTGTAGCTGCAGTTTCAGAGGAGTAACCGAGTTAGACTGTAACTGGAAAAACTTAAGACAACAAATAGTATTGCAGTGCCTTAGAGATTAACAAAACATTTAAGTATCATGGGCTTTCTTGGGCAAAACCCACTTCTTCAGATGAATGGAGTTATTAAAGGTCCAGTTTTAAATAAATAGGGGATGGGTTAGGGGAAGAAAAAAAAGGGGAAGAAATAATCAATTAGTGTCCATGCTACATGAAGCTGATAGAAAAGGTGCTAATTGTTCTTAAGTACCCATTGTTTGTTTGTTTGTTTGTTTTTATGTCATTAGGAGGTGGAATGTAGTGGGCCATCTAGCCAGAGTCTTTATTCATATTTGTGATAGGAATTGAACCTGTAAATGAAGTTAAGTTCTAAGGCAGGGGTGGCTGACCTATTCCGGGCAGAGAGCCAAGATAGCTGTGTATCCAGCATGAAGAGCTGGGGCAAAGTTGTCAAGCAAAAAAAACAAAACAAAAAGAAGCTCTGTCCCTTTAAGGAGATGTGTTTTAAAAGCGTTTGAAAGCTTTTTGGCCACATTAGGCTCCCGCCGGCCAATGCCATCTTTAATTCTAGTCTTTCATGGCTGTGCTGGACAGCTCCCCTGCCCAGGTCAGCACAGGGAGCTGAGAGAAGAGGGCTGTTTTGGGAGGTTCGGGGGCAGTTTACGAGCCACGGGGAGGGGGGACCCTTCGCGAGCTGCACCCTGGGAGGGGAAGAGCCGCATGTGGCTCCCGAGCCTTGGGTTTGCCATGGCTCTTCTAAGGCTTCTCTGTGGAGTTGACTTGTGGAATTGGCCTGAAACAATACAGTGACTTTGAGATCCATTATTGAGTGCCTGGGCAAGTTAATGTGTTGTTAAACAGGTTTCTGTGTGTTGCCTTTTTGGATATCAGATTTGTGTCCATTAATTCTTTCTTATAAAGACTCTCCACTTTGGTCAATATACATGGCAAAGGGACATTACTGGCATTTCATGGCATATAGCGTATTAGTGTATGTACAGTTAAATGAGCTTCTGATGTTTGTCTCTGTGGGATTGGAGCAAATCTGGTTGTGTTTTAGGGTATGGCTGTAAACAATAGATAAAGAAATGTGTCTTGGATGGAAGCTAGAGGCATGAAAGGAAGTGTAACTGTCGGTAGGTTTCCAGTATAAGGTGGTGGATATGTGTTCGTCTCGTAATTGTACCGTAGTGGATCTCCTGTGTGGACTGGACCAGGTTGAGGTTGATAGTGGGGTGGAAGTTGTTGAAATCCCTGTGAAATTCTTCAAGGGTCTATTTGCCGTGTGTTCCATATGATGAAGATATCATCAATGTAGTGTAAGTAAAGTAAGGCTGCCAGAGGGTGAGAGCTGAGGAAATGTTCAAGGTCAGCCATAAAGATGGCATATTTCTAGCTTTTATCTTCCAGCCTTTGATTTGTATTTTCTCTTTCTCTGGTATATTGCAGAGTCCATTATTAAATACTTGTTTGCTGTGTAAAATTAATATGACCTTTTGTGTCTCCGCTAATTCAATATACACAGCACTGCATCATGACAAAATATGTTGCTCTTGTCCTTTCATATGACAGAAAATCAAACAAACAAAAAAAACTTTTTATTAAAAACAGGCTAAATAGGAATGGTGTATCCACAAAATTGTAAATAGTATATCGACACTGACACTTTCTTTATCTAAATGCTTACAGGACTCATTGTTTCCATTTCTGAGAGGGGGAAGTAACTGCCAAGGGAATAATGTAATCTATGAAAAGACCATAAGAAAATATGAGTTGCTAAATCCTGAACAGGTAAATGATTTTTATATCATTTATATTCCTCCGTTGTACAATAAAACAAACATTTTTCTACTACTGTATTGTCTTAAATGTTTGCTTCTCTTGGAAATTAAAACAAATCTAATGGTTGTTTTAATATATTTAAGGGGCAGATCTCTACATGAAATCAATGGAATTTCTTTTAAGAGCAGGGTAGATTTGATTTAAATCACTAGTCAAGAAGACTCGTTTTAACCATGTTTTTCTACATAAAAATGCACTCTTGTTATAACTTTAATATCTATTCTTCACAACTTTAGGTGTAGGTTTCCTTTTTAGAAGGTACACTGTATGTATTTTTAAACAGTGATTTATTTTGAAACTTTTCATATTACTTTTACAGCTGATCAGAAAATTAATGATTGTGTGGTTATTTCATTTACCAAAGGTAATTGAAGCAGTTCAACTCCCAATGCCTTCATAAATATATATTTCCAGTTTAACAGATTAATCATTAATATTTGTAGGATTTTTCTTGCTGTGCTTTATTTGGAAGAGAACATCACCAGACAGACATTTAAATTGTTTTATTTAACTAAAACAACATTACATATTATGGATTTTTTTTCTTCAAACACAAACATGCAATATTTTAACAAAACAAGCATATGCATTTTTGAATTTAAACATTCAAGTTTTTTAAAACCAGGTTTATTTTGTGATAATTGTTTTAACTAACATGGTTAAATGAAATTTTTTTAAAACACAAATTTTAATAAATTATGTCAGCTAGGTCAACATGAGAAACATAAAATATTGGCTTCTGTAGATAACTCAGTCATCTTCACCTTCATTTTTCTGTTTGTCATAATCTGGAAAAGAAAAACAAGCTTCCAGGTTTATTTTGTGATAATTGTTTTAACTAACATGGTTAAATGAAATTTTTTTAAAACACAAATTTTAATAAATTATGTCAGCTAGGTCAACATGAGAAACATAAAATATTGGCTTCTGTAGATAACTCAGTCATCTTCACCTTCATTTTTCTGTTTGTCATAATCTGGAAAAGAAAAACAAGCTTTCCTGATTTTTTCAAGTCCCAAATAATTTCTCAAATTTTTAATGAATTAGTTCAAAGAAAGGAAATATTCTTTCTATACCGGCAGAAGAAGCTACTGCTGTTAAAAGTGAGATGATCACTTCAATGGCTTCTGAATCCAAGTGCTTAAGTGACTTCCACCAGTTCACTGGTGTGACTTTCTTTAAAACATCATCAGCAAACATGTATTTTTGAATTGTTTACCCTTAGTTCTGAAGTTTATTATAGTTGGAATAATAGAGAGATGATTGCTGGATGCTCATGTCATAGTCAACTCCTCTCCTTCAGCAGTTAATCCTGGTACCAAGTATTGAGAATATTTGTGAGGAAAATAAGCTGGAGATAGTGCTTGTCCCATTTTTTTTATGCTTGTAATTTTAATTGTCATTGAGTGAGATCTTTAAAAGAGAAATATACATTCTAAATTTCAACAGCATCAGAAATAAAACAGCTATTTTCCTGCATTTTGTTCAAGGCTATAGAAATAGCCTTCCTGGTACTCAGCATCTGTTCAATATTTCTCGTAAGCCCCATGTTGAGAACTTTGACAGTGCCATCTATTTTTTTTTCACAATTTTGTTCACAAAATGCTGCACAATCAACATGTGGAACTCCTTGCCAGAGGATGTTGTGAAGACCAGGACTTTTAAAAAACAGGGTTTTTAAAAAACCTAGATACATTAATGGAAGATAGGTCTATCAATACTTATTAGCTAGGATGGATAAGAATGGTGTCCCTGGCCTCTGTTTATCAGAGGTTGGAAATGGGTGACAGGAGAGGGATCGCTTGATGATTACCTCTTCTGTTCACTCCCTCTGGGGCATCTGACATTGCCACTCTCAGAAGACAGTATACTGAGCTAGACTGACTTGGTCTGACCCAGTAAGGCTGTTCTTATATAGATTAGATTAGATCTTGATATAGTGCCCAAAACAGTCCGCTACTGAGTTCCATCACACATCTTGTGGGAGAGCTAGCTTGGTTCCTCTCCCAACTTTTTTCAGAGCAGCTTCTTCAAAGTGGTTTTTATGGAAATATTTCTCAATTTCAATAATTAGCCTTTATTTCTGGAACACTGACATCTTTGGCTAGGAGATGCATCAGATGAGCACTGCAACTATATGTTATTAGCTTGGGGACTCTCTTTGCTCTCTTCAGAATTTCTTCTCACTTTGGATTTGCACAGACATTTGCAGCATTGTCTGTGACCAAGCTGCGTACTAGACATTTGAATGTTTGTTCATAGTTTATTATAGATTTACTGCTGCTTCTTGTAAATATTCTGCTGTGTGTGCATTTCCTGGTGTATCAATTGTTTCTGTAAGTAAGACATTCCCTTCTGTTGTCACACAAGCACATGCAACAGGATCATTGTGGACATTGCTCCACCCAGGTTAACAAGTTTACCCTCTAGACTTTTTGCACACTGCTCAATTTCTCTTTCATACACTTTATCCAAAAATTTGCCTGTAACATCTACCCTGTTGGGTGATTGTATCCTGGTCTTAATGGTAGAACTATGTCAATGAAGTGTAGGTTCTCAAACATAAGGAAAGGAGAGTTTGTTGCATAAACAAACTGGACAATTTTTTCATCTACCACCTGATATTCTGATATCCTGGGCCAACTCATTTACAGCAACATAGTTCAAATGCAGTGTTAATGTTGTGAAATGCTACATAATAAGAGCCCATTTACAACAAAAAATGAGTGTAATGTGGCATTTTCAACAATAAAATATTTGCCTATCTGATCAACAAACAACCATTTGAATTTTCTCACTCAAGAATACATTTTATTCATTTATATAGAGGCTTTGTACTGAGGAGAGAGTAATGTTCTCTGGTTCTGTAATAATCTTGAATTCCCAATTTATTTTAAAGGAGAAACAATACCAGTTTTCTAACCAGTCCCAGCTTAGCCATCAGTGCCAGCAGTCTGAACAGTGCCATACCAATCATCAATGCCAGCAGTCTGAACAGTGGCATGCTATCCATCAGTGCCAGCAGTCTGAACAGTGCAATGACATCCATCAGTGCCAGCAAAGACAAACTTGCAGTCCCTGCGAAATAAGCTCAATCTCTGTGACTGATGGTGGAAGAGGAATGAACACAGTGAGGAGGGTAACAGTCCATAGCGCTGAACCAGTAAGAATTCCTGTTTCATATTTCATTTTTTGTAGTATATTAGTGTTGAGTCCAGCATTTTATCAGAAAGTTAAAAGTCCTCATAATCTTAGTTTAAATTATATAGTATCAATATTACATTGTGTATATACTCTTTTAGAAAATGCTTCAAATATAAATTAAGAGCTAATGAGTATGAAAATCTCAGCTTTCCCACTTTCTTTTATTTGTCATTACAGTAGGTAAAATGCTTCATTGACACTGAGAGTCTTTAAGTTGAGACTGGCAACATCCTGACTAGAAAGGGTCTGGCTGTAACATTGTTTGTTACCTTGTAATTTGTAGAGGCCCAACTGGAAGGCATTTTTTGGTTGGAATCTGAAAAAGGGGAAGTTTTTAAAGTCTGCCATGTTTATAATCATGTCACTTGTAGATGGAGATGGGAATTTTAAATAGATACTTTCCTTTCAATATACAGATTATGGCATTTTTCAACTGTGTGTGTAAATGAAATTGTGTGTGTCCATTGCATTTGTAAAACCTCATGTTGGTATGTGCCAATAGGTAGTTAGTTACAGTAGTAACATAGTCATTATGAAGTGTCTGAGGATCTGGCACTTGTGTATAGTCAGAAAATGTATCCTGCCTCAGTAGGCAAATCCTCCTTTATATTCAGGAGTAAGGTAGGTAGGTTGACTTGGTTCTGAACAGCTGGTAGTAGTTCTAGTAATCTTTTTTACAAGCTAAGAAGCCTCTTAGTTTGGGCCTGACCCTTCATCCTGTTCAGTCTTTGTTTCAAGCAGGCATGTGTGTGGTAAATGTGGGTCTCCTGATGTCTGGCAACTTCCTCTATCATTTGGTTTCCCAACTTTATATCCCTTTTGCCCAAGGCAGGAATTTTTTAATTCAGTTCAAACTGTTTTTCCCTTCTGTGGAAATATACAAGATCCAAAAGGGGTTCTAGCATCAGATGACATCCTAGCCACGTGGCTTTGTAGGACCAACCACAGTTTGGGCTTACAGGAAAAAACAAATCCATTTACAGATCATTGTCTTGAGCACTGGTCCATTAAGTTTCCTGAAGTACCACTAATGGCCTTCACTAGAAGACTTAAATTAATAAAACAGGTTTAACCTTCATATTTCTAGCTTCGCATATAAAACATTCAGTAGATTGTAACTTTAAAAATTGCTACATGATGCATTTTGGAGTGATGTATATTCATAAAGCATGGAGGTTGTGACAGCTATTTTTAGAGAGCATTTTTAGGATAGGTAGGAATATTTACTACCAATTCTCTGTTCATTTTTGCTTTGAGAGTCTGTCATATATTATTGTTGTTTTGTTGTTGGTCAGTTTAGAGCAGGGGTGGGCAATAATTTTTGACTGGGGCCACTTCAGAAATTTTTGAAGTGGCCCCGAGCTGCCCCGGAAGAGGCGGGGCCTCGGGTGGAAGGGGCAGGGACAGGATATTTACGTGCTTCCCTACCCACAGACCCTGATTGGTCTGGGGGTGGGGGAATGCACAAAGTCTTTGCTTCCCACAGAGAGAGCTACCAGCACCCATGCACTTGGCGGTGGGAGGAGACTTCTTGTGCTCCCCTCAAGTCAATCGGAGCCTGGGGAGGGAGAGCACATGAAGTCTATCGCTCCCTGCCCCCGCCTGTAAGGGAACACCATGCTTAGAGTCAACGGTCAGCTGAGCAGCAGCTGGCGATTGACTTTGTGCCGAGCCCCTTGCAGGGTGGGAGAAGACTTCATGAGCTACCCCGAAGCCCTGATTGTCCTGGGAGCGGGGGAAACACGCAAAGTCTCCTCTCACTCTGCCCTTGTCCTGCAAGGAGTGTGTGGTGCTTAGAAATGCTGCTCCCCTTGCAGGGTTGGGGGAGATTTTGCACACTCCCCCTGCCCCCAGGCCCTGTTAGGCAACTCGCTTGGTGGGCCTGTGGAGGCTCTTTTGCCCACCCCTGGTTTAGATCCTAGGGTATGTCTACACTAGCCCCCTAGGTAGATCTAGGGAGGCTAATGAGGGCGACTGGAATTGTAAATCAAGCCCGAGATTTAAATATCCCATTGTTGATTTGCATCTTCCCGGCTGGGCACCATTTTTTGAAATTTACAAGACCGGAATAACTGCCTGCGTCTACACACAGCAATGAAACGGGCATTCGAAATAACCTGTTATTCCTCTTGCAAACTACTCTCAGTACCTACACTTTTCAGACACACACAATATTTTTCTACCATTGCAACACATTTGTTTAAACAACTTAATCGTAGCCAGGCAGGCAATGAAGTTTTTGGGTGTAAAAGTACAAAAATGATAGAGCTCTGTACAATTTAACACAAAAATTCAGTTTTCTCCACATATCAGTTGTGTTGATGTACCCCCCCAGGACTTCTCTCAAGTACCCCTCAGGGAACTTGCTGGGGAGCAGGTTTCAGGGTCCAGCTTCCAGCCAGCCGATAGTCAACCTTGTGAATTCCTGGGGTCCAGTGCAGCCGTGTGTCTAGGGTTGGGGGTATGGGACTTCTGGTAGGATGGAGTGTCCGGAGCCACCATCTAGCTCCACACAACAGGGATGTGGGGGAAGGGGGGCTTTCAGTAGGGATTCTGGGATCGAGGTCTGGCAGCCACTGTCGTGCCCAGCTCTCTGATTATACACTGTGTGCCGCATATGTGGCCCAGTGATAACTATGTTGAGAACCGTTGGTCTAGAGCCTATGATTATAGCGTATTTTCCAGCAAGTCCGTGTGTGTGTTGGATTGCATGATTTGAGTTAATGTGGCTGTGGATACTTGAAATGCATTTCCATACAATGGAAGCAAAAACCACTAAAAAAGAATTCTAGAAGTTATCAACAGCTTGGGGTTACAAATTTCACTTGGAAACAGGGCACCATAAAAGCCATTTGCTTTTGAGTCCACCTTATGAATCTGAGTGTTGCTCAAATTTCACAATTAAAGAGGCTGCCTTGTATTTTGAAGGGATTCTTTCTTCTCCTAAAATCAGCCACTTAAAACCAACTTCAGCTTTATGAAGTTTCTTCAGGCTCTTCAGCGAAGCAGTGTCTGTGCTGCCCTTTCAGAGTGCCTGTGGCAAATGGCTAGAGGAGAGTGCGAGGCAATGCGCTGTTCACTGTATCCTACCTAAATAGCAAACAGTGAAAGGACACTTGGAAAGATCCTTAAAGGGGCTCCATGCCTAAGCTGAAATCTCACAGCTGGCTGCTTCTTTATGGCTATGGAACTGCCAACTAGGGGGAAATTGGGCAGATTACTTTTCCTTCCCTTTTTAGAGTCCTACCTCTTTTTTTCCCAGTCACCCAAGTTCATTCCTTTCAAGTGAGAGGCCCAGCTTTTCTTTGTGTAGGGATCCCAATCCAACTGCTCTGTAACTGCATCTCTGGTTTCTTTGTTTGTCATCTTTAAAAAAAAAAAACAGCCTTTTTATTAACCTTGCTAACTTTTTTTCCTCTTTCAGACACACTCTCTTCAAGAAGCTAATGACCAGCTGGACTCCAAATATTTTGGCGAGCTACTTGCTGAAGTGAACCGCAAGAGCAATGACCTATACAGCTCTTTACTGCAACATGTGGAAAAGATAGGAAGAAGGTATTGTAGACCCATCTGCCCCCCATTGTGGAGATCTAGGAATGTCATGGTTGGAGAAAGCAGTGCCGTTTGAGCTGCACTCTGCAGACAGTTAAAGATCTTACAATGTAGTACAGGGGTGGAGAACCTAGAAACTACATCTGGCCCCTGGTGTGAGCCAGGACTGAGCTGGGCTTCCTGTCTGCCAAAAAAATGTACTTGCGAGGAGTAGAGGGGATGTGTGTAGTCTATAGCATATATCTATAAGCTTTTGCTATTGGTTAATCGACTACACTATTACATCCGTACTTTTTTTGTGATCCTTAAATCAAAACGGTGGTTGAAACCAAAAGCCTGCACTCCCACTTCTTCTCATAATTAGGCAGGGGATTTTTTATTCCCCTTTCAGATCAGCAAGAGGCACACTGTTTAATCTGTCACTTTTTTCTTTGTGTGTGTGTTTTACAGGACGCAAGACATTGAATCTACAAATCAAGTAAGCACTTAAAGCAATCCAGTCCAAATGGTCGCTAACTTTTTGTTGTCTCAGTTTTGAACTCAATGAAATTATGCCAGTTCACCCCATCTGAGGATCTAGGCCTGTAATGTAAGGAAGACAACTTTTGGTAGTTGTGCACTCCTAGTTAATAGTAGGATTCCTAAATATATCTATAGCAATATGACTTTAAGAATGTTTTTAAACATGTACATTGAAATAATTTGTAGTACCATTATTTAGTAACTTGTGAGGGACAAACATTAAAACTGTTTTCTTGTGTGTTTGCTGTAAAATTGACAAGATAGGAAAGATAAGTTGTGCATCACTTAAGAAGCTTTCTAGGATAACTACTTAAAACATATAGCACTTTCATCCTCCCATAAATGGAGCAGATGTTTTTAACAACACTTCATAATTTTTCTGCAGAAAAAGTGAAAGTATAATGTTGTCCCCAAATAAAACTTAAAAGTGAATTTAGATCAGGGCTACTCAACTTTGCAAGCCCCGGGGGCCGCAATGGTACTCACAGCACATGCTGAGGGTCCAACTTAAGTGTAGTTGCATGTACATGTAAATAAATATGCAAAAATAAGTAAATAGTTTTTCACACTGATGGGCATGAATATAACAATTAAGGCAAAACTACACAACATGCAGGCCTCATTTAAGTCAGTTCTGCTGATATTAATAAAATGCAATATTTACCTGATTTCCACCCATATGACAGCATTTTTTATGAGCAATGACAGTCGAGGAATGGAACTACTAAAATGCGTATCAACAGAAGACCATTATATTGACTTGCCATTATGGAGTGTTTCCCTGCGGAGGCCATGTTCAAAGGATCCTACCCACAGGCTGTGTTGAGCCCTGCATAAACCCAAACTGCACTGGGGCCACAAACCAACAGGCTGCGTGTTGAGTAGCCCTGATTTAGATAAAAACAGACAGATTGGTCAGTTAAAATTTCTGACTACTTTGATCCTGTTGGAATTTGGTCAGGTGGATCGTGGACAGAAATTTTAGTTTAGTACTAAGTTGGGTGAAAAAGTGCCACTTACTGAATCACATACAGCATGCCATGCAGCATGTAGGTCATTCTTGTCTCCTACTGACACTTACCTTGTAAGATTTGATTTGATCAGATCACATAACAAGCTATGTAGCTGTAATTCACGGTAACCTTTATTTCTCCAGAATAGGAAGATAGAAATAATAAAAACTAAAATACATGCATTTTAAAATTGACAGACTCTTTGATTATTCATCAAAAAAATATATTTCAAACTAATAAATTAATTTTATATACAATGAAAACTATAAACTTTGGAAGTTTTCTGGCTATACCTTGATCTGTGTTCATTCTCTTTCTCAGAGTTCTCTGACTTTCGTGTGTTTTCCAAGTAGTAGAATATAATTAATGAAGAGCTCACATTGTGATATACAGGAAGAATTATTATTCAAAATGTCAAAGCCAACAAATGGATTTGTTTTTCTGTATTTATTATTAGGAAGAAGATATTGAAGATTTGATTCCCAAAGGACTTTCGGAGTTGACAAAGCAGCAAATTCGATATCTCCTGCAGGTATACAAATAAAAAAATCATTTGCAAATCACAAAAAAGGACAGTTAATTTGAGGGAGTTAGGCTATGTCTAAACTACATCCCTCTTTCGAAAGAAGGATGTAAATTAGGCAGATCGAAAGTGCAAATGAAGCAGGGATTTAAATATCCTCCACTTCATTTGCATAACTGCATCACAGTGTTCTCTCAAAAAAGGGTATTTCGAAAGTGAAACTGCCATCTCGACGTGGTTCTTTTGGGGGAAAAAACCCCACCTTTTTTTGAAAGATCCTGTACTCTCTCAGAGCACTAGGGGAGTTAAGTGTTTCAGTTGTGGGCCACATCAGTGAGGATTGGAGATTTTTTAGAGTTTTTTGTTATTTTGTTTTTTGTTTGCTTCTCAGTTGTGATTTTTCTGTATGTCAGTAGCCCTTGATCTACAAAAGATTCTCCACTCCTGCCATAAATAAAGACATTGTTGAAACCTTTTGTATTAGACATAATATTTTACTTTATTTAAAAATGAAGTCTGGCCAACAAGCCCCCAATTGAGACTCAGCCACATTATAACACTCTTGCGCCTTCCCACACACCAACTACGAGACCATCATATACCTGAACACCCTGCCCTGAACCTCTCCTACTCCTACATCCCCAAACTCATGTACTTCCACACTTCCAGTCCTTTGCCATAACACTCCTGCACTTCCCATACCCCCCCAAACCTCTGCCCTGAGCCCCTCATATACCCCAAACCAGACTCCTGCACCTCCACATCTCTAGCACCTTGCCATAAGATTGACAGAAAACGACTTCATGCATATCTTCTGGCTGGATTTAACCGGTTATGATGTAAACTTCAAATAAATGTGCAAAAAGATGTAGCAGCAGAAGTCCCATTAAATAAAGTACAATGTTTCATTTATGCTATGATTAATTATTATGCCAATTATCAATAATATTAAGTTGTATATTTTCAGTCTTGCAAATCGACATTCTTATACGGCTCTTTGTTGACCACTTGTTCTGAATTATGATGTTGTTTGGCTCTTTGGTTTGAAAAGGCTGCTGACCCCTGACTTAGGCTATGTTTACACTGGTAAGGTTTGGTATCACAAGTGCTGTTAACATGCAAAAGTTGCCAAAATTGAAAATTGATCAGACTGGTTTTTTTGATTTCCCATTATTGAATTTCCTGGCCACATTGCTAGCATCCTGTCAACAGAGCAAAGCAATGTGGGTAAGTATCCCACAGTGCAGTGCTGTGAAAAGGCAGAGCTGATCCCTGCACTTCTTGGGATTCCCTCTGAGTTCTCCTACAGCATTCCCAGTTGCTGGGATCAGAATCATGAGCAGCTTGGTGAGCTCTCTGTGCTAAGGAATGTCAAAGCAAAACAACAGTCTCTCCAGCCCTACCCTTGCAGCAGCAGTCTGCCTGCCTTGTGTTCCTAGTGCAGGGTAGAACAGGAGTATTCCAATGATTTGTTTTGTTCCCAAAAGGAAGCAGCTCACTCAGCTGTCAGGTACTTCTCCGAACTTTGAAAGGAGAGGGGGACGTGCCTGCAGTGCAGCAGAAATCAAAATATTGAGCGGAGTCATTTGGGCAGGCATTTTGGAATACTGGCAGAAGTCAGTTCTGTCAACAAAACAAACAGCAGAATCTATACTGGTTCTTTGTCAACAATAAAGGGAGAGGAAAAGAAAAACCAGTCTTGCGGAAAAGAAGATTTTTGTTGCCAAAACTAGGTGTTTTTCTTCGACAAAAATCTCACTGAAATGTGGAATGCTTTCATTGTTTTGTCGACAAAAGGCAGTTTTTAGTGACAATACTCGGTAGACAGTCTTAGGAATTGTAGCATAAATGCAGGGCCGGGCGGAGGCATGGTTGAGCCGGGCAGCTGCCCAGGGCGCCAACCCACGCAGCGTCCCTTACAGCTACCATCAGGAGCCGCGCACCTGGCTCCTGCAGCGCCGGCCCTGCGGTGCCGGACAGCTGCGCCCTTGTCTCTACAGCTGAGGGGCCATGCACGGCTTGGTGCATGCGCTGCCT